AAAAAAAAAAACCCACGAAGAATACTCATGTTTCGTCGTGTTGCCGCTCTCCCATTACTCTCCCATCGTGCCTTGGCTGCGGGTTACTTCACCGCCTCTCCGGTGCTCTGCCAGGCCGCCGCCTCCAGCGGTAGTGAGACCCACACAGACAACACGAATAGCAACAGCGGCAATCCCACACGCTGGCGCCGCCCTTCACTCGCCCAACAACGTGCCCGCCGTGCACATCTCCCACCCGCCTTTGATGTTGTGCACTGGAATGATGAGGACATGAGCCGCGGGCATCTCCTGCGGGTTCTCCACCGCGACAGTTTCGTCGTGCTGGACTACCACCGACAAATAAAGAAGATCGGCGAGGAGGGAAATAAGGCGGAGCGGGTCGTCTCCGTGATGCTCCCGGCGGTGTACACCGCGAGATTCCTCAGTGTCCTTGAGGGACGATCGGATAAGGTGGAGGTGCACTCACGCTTCACAAACGCTGTCTTTGCTCCAAAGAATGGAGTTCCACATGTGTTTACGCTTAACTGCACATCTACAAAGCCACCACAGCAGCAACAACAAGGTTCAGATAATGAGGAGAAGTTTGAGTGGGCAGTCGAGTTTGATCCGGCAGAGTCCCTTATGCTTCACCGATTCCTCTCGCAGGCACTGCACTATAACACTGGCTTTGCTAAAACAACCGTATAGAAGGAGAAAGAAAGAAGGTATATGTGTGTAAATAAGTGATGGTATTAAGAAAAAAAAAAATGAAGAAAAGTAGACGGTATTGCTCTATAGTACAAGCCTACAGAAGAAGAAAAAGAATTGATGAATAAAGGGTGTGATATATACATTTGCCTTTAGATATGTGTGTCTCTCTCTCTCTCTATTTCTCTGTATGATTGGTATTTTTTTCTTGTTTCCTTTCCCTTCTGTGGGTATTATAAGAGGAAGAGATGGGAAACAGGTGAAGACACACGTATATATATATATATATATATATATATATATTTACGCGAAGAGAAGAAAGAGAGTAATAAAAAGTGAAACAAGCGAAAAAAAAAAAGAACAAGTAAAAAAAAACATTAACGTACATTTGTTTCTGTTTCTTTTTTTTTTTCTCATTGTCACCTCACGCACACATTCCTCTTTTTCTTCTGTTCTTTTTTTTTTTCTTCTATTTTGTCTCTTCCTTTTTTTTTTGCAATTCACTACACACATTTTCTGTTCAATTTACCATGAGTATGCGTGTATATCCATCTACGTACTTGATGAAAAAATATATCTCTGTGAGTGTTTTTATTTGTTTTTTTTTTATTTTTTGGTACGGATGTAAATATTTCTGTTCGTTTCTTTCTCTCCTTAAACTGTCTCTCTCTCTCTCTCTCTCTCTCGCTCTATTATGATGTTAAACAAATAGTATTGCATCGGAATCACCTACTCCGTTTCGACTATCAAAGCGAGAATAGAATTAATAACTAAAACAGGAATTTAAAAGGAAAAGATAAGGTTATCTTACGACTACTAGTACTACCACTACTATTATTTCTACCAACAACAACAACAAAATCATGTCCAGCGATCGCGAAGACCACCACCAAATGGAAGATGAAAACCATAGTTTCGACCACGAACAGGAAAATCACTATGAAGAAGACCATCACGATGATCACGATCACGATCATGATCATGAAGACGACGATCATGAAAATAAGGAGAATCCTGAACCCCGGAATGACAGACCGTATGCCCACAGTGATAGATTCGATGGGGATGCCGATAATGAGCGTGTGTTTGACTTCCACCAGAAGCGACTGCAGGAACAGGGTGATCTCCCACCGCAACCACCGCACCACCAGCGTCCAAGCCGCTCCACGAGTTTTCTCGGCCGCACACACGACACCGCTGGTCACTCCAGTGTGGCTCCCACCGACGCGGCGTCTAATCTCCGCTTCCGCAGCATTATTTCCTCTGCGCGTTATTCCGCCATGCGCCGCAGCGTTGGCGGCGGGTCTGTGAATTACGACAACGCGAGCGCCGGCCTCACGGAGGGCGAACGCATTGCGATGGAGCAGATGGCCGAGCGCGAGGAGCGGCGGCAGTCCGCCCTTCACCGGGCAGCGGAGGAGGAGGAGCGCCGCGAGCAGATGCTGATCCAGAATGAACTGCAGAAGGAGGCCGCCACCCTGCAGCGCATCGTCGAGTTGGAGGAGAAGAAACAACAAGTCTCCCGCGAGCGGCAGGAGCGCACACTCACACGCATGGAACAGGCCAAACAGCGGCGTCTCGCGATGGAGCGCGAACGGCAGGCAAAACTGGACGAAATTCAACGACGACGGGAGGAACGGTTGGTGCACCGCGACCCCTACGCCGCCTTTCTCACAAAGGGAAAGTACAGGGGGCCAAGTACCCTCACAAGTGATTAAGCTCTACAGCAGAGGGGGGATAGACAAGGAATAAGGTGAGGGGGAAAGGCAGAAAGAAAAAATATATATATATTGAACAGCAACAGCAACAGCAATAACAGCAACACCGTGCGCTCTCTCAATCTGTCACTTTCACTTTGTCTCCGGTAATGTTTTGTTTCTTTTTTTTTTTTACCTTCTATTTTGATTCTACTACTCCTATTACTACTACTACTTTTCCTTTTTTTTTTGTATCCAAAGCCCTTTTTCCTTTCTCTCTCAAATGTCGCCTCCCCACTCAATTTTCCACCCTCTTCTCACGCTTACGTGAGGTGGGGGTTGGAGAGGATGGAAAAAAAAAAAAAAAAAAAGTGAGTTGGGGTTCATAGTTCAGAACGTTCGTTCATTTGTTTGTTAAATATTGATTGTTTTTACTTACCCAAACGCTGTATACAATACACACATATATATGTATGTGCGTGTTTTTTTTGTTTTTGTTTTTGTTTTTCCTTGTTTTTGTGTGTGTCTCCATCTCATTCTTTCGCAATGTGCGTATGTCTGGGCCCAAGAACTGTTGGCGTTGAAAGAAAAAGAAAAGAAGACGCACACAAAGACATGGCGGGAAGAGAAGAACGAAATATGATAAAGGAAAAAAAAAAAAAAAGAGAGAGAGAAAGGGAAAGGGAAAGTGGTTATTAAAAGGAAAAGAGTGAAGAGTTTCTAGAGACATTTGTATACCTTTATGTCTCTTTACATAAGAGAAAGGTGTCCCAGCGGAAAATCCGCACTACAAGATGTATGTGAACCAGATGAACAAATGAGGGACACCTCCGTGTAAGGGAGAAAAGAAAAAAAAATAGTAAAATTGAGAAAAAGAAGAAGAAGCAAAGAAAAGGAATAGTGATTGAAAGAAGAGCTCATCAAGGCAGTTCAACAAAAAAATGAAAAAAAAAAAAAAGAAAATCAGGAAAAATGGGAGAAATGGGAGAAATAAATTATGGGAGGGAAATAATGTTCAAACAGGAGGTAATGTTCAGAGAATAATTAAACTTATGCGTAATGTGTATATGTCTGGATGTCCTACAGGCGGCAGCATAGGGTGGATGGAAAGACTCCCAACGCAAAGAAATGCATAATTATACACGGTATTTCATGTTTTTTCTTTCTTTTTTCTTCTTTGCTTTCCTGATTTTCTCTCTTTATTATTCAATCTCCATTGATAGACAAATCATGGTTCATTTTATTTATTTGTTTGTGTTTTTTTTTTCTTTTTATTTATAATTTTAAAGATGGTTCGGATGGATATGCTTGCTACCACTGAGATACATCTACCTCTAGTGGTGTGGTACATTCAAAGGTGCTAAAAGTGCTGTTTTTTCTCTCATTTATAGGAGTAACAAAGGAAAAAAAATTATATAATATATATCTATACATATATATATATATGTATAGATATATATTGGAGGTTAACAAGAATAGCGGCCAAAGAAAAAAAAAAAAGAACAGAAAGAAGAAGGGGGAAGAAAGGTAATAAGATAAATTGGTAACTAAAAAAGAATCTGATGGAATGAGCTTTGTACAGCCAAGTCCCTAATTCTTTTCTCATTTTTATTTATTTATGAATAAAAATTATTATGAATGGTACTTTATTATCGTGCTGCCTTTTTTTTTTATATTCCAACTTTTGTGCGCGCTTTTTATTTGGATACAACTCTTTCAATATTTCTTTGTGTCCGCCTGCGTGTGTGTGTGTATATGCGTCTGTTAGTTCGTATGTATGAATGTATGTATTTTTCTGCTTTACCACTGACGTTTCAGACGTTTCAGACAACACGGCACGTCATCCATCCGTGCTTGTGTTACCCTAGATGTTGTTGTTATTCTTTTTTTTTTTTGTTTTGCTTGGCTACTGTTTACATCTGTCCTTTATATATATATATATATATATATATATATATATATTTGCATATGTTTTTTTTTTCTCTTCTTTTCTTTATTTCTTTTTTTTCGTTGTTAAAAAAGAAAAGGTACTGTGCATCCACCTGCACAAGTGGGGGGGAAAACGTATTATTATTATTATTATTATTATTATTATTATTATTATTATTATTAT